TCTATTCCATTCAAGGTGGTCATAAGTTGAAAACAGTGTAGTTGGGACGTAATTATTGTTTGACATAACATTTAGATATGTTACATCCTTCCTTTTATTAATCTGTTTTCACGTTATTACAATTATGTGTTTAAAGTGGGTTTTTTTCACAACCCTATTGGATTCATGTGACCACATGCATTCACAGCTCTGACATTGTCGTCTTCTCCGAGACATGCAAGTTATTACGTATAATACAGTTGTATTTTTTAAAATTCCGAATACTTGCCGAGGGTACGTTCGTGGAATAGCAACAAAGACTTTATAGGAATTCGCTCTTGAGTTGGGTCCAGAATATTTTTTTCGTCACTGGGAATCGGATGCTCACAATCGAGGAAAGATTAAAACACAGACATTTATACTTTTACTATGGTCATTACTTCATATGCGTATTTTAAAAAAGTTTCTATACCTGTACAAGGTGATTAATTATAGTTTTAAAAATTCATAAAGAATTCGTAAACTCTTTTTCCGCACAGATACATGCATCTGCTCAGAAACAACCTGACCTAACAAATGCCATCACCAGGGTCATACAGAGAAACATAAAACGTTCTGCTGAAAAGTCTACCATACAAAGATTAATGGTGGATATCTATTCACTCATTCTGCAGTCGAAATCGAAAGATGTAAGTTGTGAACAACGTATTATTCGCTCGGGAGTTGCCATTATAATTATTGTAGTTAATTATCAAAGTTCTGTTCCCTTATTAAGGTTTCTTGTTTGACATGGATAAATCCACTCCCAAAGGTCCAAATTACAGAAAATGGTACGCGGGAGAAAGCTATTTGCATCAAGACGGTCATGATAGGAGAAATGCAAAACGTTTCTTGGACGGTAAGGAGCTGCTCTCTTTAAATCAGATGCGGTACTTATTCGGCAAGGCTGCGCTCAACCGAGGGCGGCGCTTAAACGAGTAAATACAGTAAAAATCTGTGCTCAACAGTTAGTGAAATGAAAGAATGCAGACTCCCATATCAAGTCAGACAAAGAGTTGTCCTTAGTACTTCAGCTCCATACATGTAATAAATTCAAAATGGCGGATTTACTATATAGATTCATGCACGTATATTTTGTAGGAAGTAAAACAAGAAATACAGACTTCCACAGTAAATGGATGGGAACAGAGAAGTATTTGTTTCGCAAAAGACAACAACGCAACACTCGCTGACGTGCGCTCTAAAAGGAATTCCACGTTGATAACAACCGGACAAGGGTTCAAAATCCCACAGAAGTCATGGATAAATTATGGTAAGTATTTGTTTTAACATAAGAAGCGATATTTTTTCCGTTTGAGTATGGTTATAAACTGAGTAAAACCATTCAGTAAATACCCATGGCCATCAGGCCATGTAGAATTCCCTAATTGTTGCCGATATTTCAACTCGACTATACAGAATTGATACTAAATTAAAATTACGCATTGCGGTTTTTACTAAAAGATAAACTAAGGTACATTGGGGATTTAAAATCTAGTTACTGGTAATAACGATCAGCTGCAGCCAGACTTGGACTTTACCGATGCGCTGAAAAACAAAGAAGAAGAACATAGAGAAATGCTGAGAGATGACGTGGAAAGAAATTTGGAGAAAGATGAGGCAGACACAGTCCGTTCCATAGAACAAGAGATTGTGGAAAAAGTGTCAGGTACGACATTCTCTCTCTTGTATCTATATAATAGATACAATTTCAGGATGGGCACAAATGCCTTTATTCCGGCCCATTCAATAAATAAATCGCCATCGTAAATGCTATATATAGAAGCATGTAGATATAGTATTAAACGGAGTATAGTCCTTTGTGTAAATTGTAATAAAAAACTAGTCATGGATAAATAACATAACTTATTTCTCCCTTTTTCTCATTTACAGATTATTGTGATAGGATCAGGCAAGGATTATGCAATGCAAACGATTACGTACCTTCATCGCCGTCAAATGCGCAAGACTATTCACAAGTAAATACGTGAACATTATATATATAAACATTATATATATATATATAAACATTATATATATATATATATATATATATAATATATATGTAATTATATAAGTATAATCTAGCTCAATTACCTATCTTTTAATGTCACTTTGTAGTTTTTGTCACCTGAATCAAAGAAATTGTACAACAAATTCACCCCGAAATGGTTGAAGGCGTTTGACATGGTATGGAAAACTTACAAAGTTTATCATTTTAATTCTTTGGCAACGATATATAGGTACTCTCTCTGACGAGCTAAATCGTCTGGCTATATAGACAGATTATAATTCTCTAACGTTATACAAACCATTCCGTCATCATAGTTAAATAAACATTTAGTGTTGTTTGCAACTGTGCATGGTGTATTAATGACACAATTGAAAACTTTGTTCGTTATAAACCGTCTTTTAAAATTTTGTTTCTGAGTTATAGTTCCGCACTGCAACATTGCATGAATGTCTTAACATTGAATGGTTTAACTATATTTTTCTCTTCAGTTCGATTTTACCTGCTGCAGTTTCTTCTTCTAATGTATTTGTATCCACACCCATGTACTTCATATAAACATTCGGTAATCCAGATCATTACGTTTTTGCAACATAGGCTGTAACAGCAGTAGAACGAGCAAGATTACAAAATGAAGAGCAAACAGCAAATGATATGATAGATACTGCGTCAGGCTCAGGTACGTTGTTATATAGATATTGTGATCACAACATGCACACATGTACTGACTGCAATGAAGAGCATTCAGTAATTTAGGCTTCGTTTAACAGCCGTCTTCCATGGCCACGTTATACCTACCAAGTGGGTATCCATATCCAAGATCCGGCTGGAATTCGAGCCAAACAGAATTTCAGACAATGTAATTGTAGAATTTTCAATGTTTTCTGGACAACTTGCACACATACAAGTAGAAAATAATTGAGCCACACAGGAACAGTCCCAGCAACCATGGTTTTCACGATCGTAGGCGGAACTCACTGGAAATAGTGTATCGTATTTATAAAACCTGGATTGCAGCGCGTTGTTCGATTCCCTTATATCAAGTAGTTCTGCACAATCTGTCAATCAATCATCCAGTCATTTAGTAAGGACAAATCGCACATTGCGCAACTTATAGTGTAACATTGAAAAATATAGGAATAACGTTGGTATTTGGATGCATTACTTTATTTTATTTTCTGATTCGACCACCTTTTATCAAACACGTATTAATCAAACTCCCATTCCCAGAAATAGTGAAGTAAACCCGAAAAGGAAACTGCAATTCGCGCAAGGAGCATTTGGAGTTATGAACGAAAGCACTGAAAGTGAAGGTATAATTCATGATACGATTTTATCCGATGAAAAATCGGTGAATATAGAATATAACATGCAAATAACAGCTTCCTCATCCGCAGGAAACAAAAGAATCCAGCCGCGAGAGGACTGTCCTTGTGGAGACGACGAAGAAATCGTTGGAGAAAACTGGGTACAATGCGACGATTGCGGACAGTGGTATCATCTGTAAGTATATTTTTAACTCCCTATATGTTTATTCTGTGTTAACAAATTGTACATAAAAAACGTATATAGATACAGATACCATATAGCAGTTAGCTAAATACATATCGTGGGTGTATTTCTACAAGTAATCTTTATTTATATTTCAGGAAATGTATGAATTTAGAGAAAATTCCGCCGAAAAAACAGAAGTGGTTCTGCAGTGAAAAATGTACAGAACAAATAAAGAAAAAGAGATCCAAACAGTGGAAATAAAGAATTGACAGTTTTAAATGTATATAACTGACATATAACCTTTGCTAGAAATGTTAAAATGCTATACATAATATTTTGGCAGTGCAGGACCTTTAGGCCCTGTTTACACTATACCGGATAGCTTTCCGTAGCGGCGCGGAAAATCACCTATCCGATACCAAATGTACAACTTTCAGAAGCAGATTTAAGCTGCGCGAAATAATGTCCGTTCCCCGTTGCAATAATTGTCTGAAAATACTATATCTGAAAATACAATAATTGTCTGAAAAAAACATGCACATTGCAATCAGACAACGTCGTGTCAAGAGTGAATATAAACCGTGGCTGACAAATGAAATTAAGCAAATGAGCTATCGTAGGGATTACCTTAAAAAGCAATCAATTAAATTAAGATCTGCGTATTATGATAAGGCTTACAAGAGATGTAAAAACAAGTTAAATAATCTCATAAAAGAAACTAAACAAGAATACTTTAGAGATAAACTAAGCAATGCTAAAAATAGCAAAGAAAGTTGGCGAACTATTAATGTATTATTAAACAAAAAGCCTAAAACTTCAGAGGTTAAAGAACTAGATATAAATGGCCAACTTATTACTGACAATGATAAAATTGCAGATGCCTTCAATCAATATTTTTCCACAATTGGCAGTACGTTGTCTGACAAGATCACAGGTAACTGCACTGATCCAATGAACTTTGTGACTCCTCTTGATGGTAGTATATTCAACTTTACAAGCATTACACTCCAAGAAACAATAGATGCACTCAATGAAATTAAAACTAAGAAATCTCCAGGGCTTGATGCTATTAGTATAAGGTTACTAAAAGATGCATCTAACATTGTGGCAGGACCACTAGTGAACATATTCAATGTATCCCTTCAAAGAGCAATTTTCCCTAATGATTGGAAATTAGCAAAGGTGACCCCATATTTAAAGAAGGAAATAAGGCAGACTGTGAAAATTATAGGCCAATATCTGTTATTTCAGCTGTAGCTAAACTTTTCGAAAAACTGGTATACCTGCAGCTAAGTTCATTCTTGAGGTTGAATGGCACTCTTGTGGAACAGCAGTCTGGCTTCCGTCATCAACATTCTACTGAAACTGCACTGCTTAGTTCTACAAATGAATGGTTGTTCAATATGGACAGAGGTTTACTTAGCGGAGTTTTATTTCTAGGCCTTAAAAAAGCTTTTGATACTGTCGACCATCATATTCTTTTATCAAAGCTTGAATTATATGGTATTAAAGGAACTAGCCTGAAATGGTTCGAATCATACGTTTCTGGTCGAAGCCAAATATGCTCTGTGAATAGCAAGATGTCGCTGTTAGACAAATAAAATGCGGGATACCTCAGGGCTCTAACCTTGGGCCTATTTTATTCCTATTGTACATAAATGATCTTCCTAACTGTTTAGAGACAACTAAGGCAAATCTTTTTGCTGATGACACAAGCCTTTCTTGTGAAGGGTTTAGTCCATATGAAATTGAGATCAAACTTAATAAAGACATTGAAAATGTTCATAGGTGGTTGACAGCTAACAAGCTCTCATTAAATATGAAAAAGAGTGAATTTATGATAATAGGATCAAGACGTCGCTTAGCTTCAATTGAAAATAGCCCAGTACTAACATTAGGGGGAAACAACATTAAGCGAGTTTACCAAAAAAAGTCACTAGGCATGATCCTTGACGACCAGCTAAAATGGAATAAACATAATGAAATGCAATGTAAAACAATTTCAAATAATATCGCCCTGCTGAAAAGAGCAAAATTGTTTGTCAATAGAGATAGTCTGATAAAAATCTACAATGCCTTAGTGTGGCCTCATTTCAATTATTGTTCAACAATCTGGAATGATGGATGTTGTTCGATAATTGATAAATTGTTTATACTGCAGAAGAGAGCAGCGCGTGTGATAACAGGGGACACATACGAGGTTCGTTCCATGCAAACGCTAGATAGTCTTAATTGGCTTCCAATAGAAGAACTTCTAAAACAACGGCAGTTAATAATGACATTTAAAGTATTAACTGGTCGATTACCTCGATACCTTGAAAAATTGTTTTCAGTAAGTCAAAATGACAATTACAATCTAAGAAGCAATCAAATTAAATTGAACCTACCCAAACCTAAGACAAATTTTCTCAAACGAAGTTTCTCGTATAGAGCTGCTAAGTCCTGGAACGAACTTCCAAGTGAAACTATTGAAAATTATAACAATCTTTCAATTTTGTCGTTTAAACGGCAATTACTTAATTCATCCGTATCAATTCATTGTAAATAGTTATATTCTTTTTGTCCTTTTTATATTATTGTTGTAAACACACGGCCCTTTGAAAACCAGCGCTGTAAATATTATCTGCTGAACAGGCTACCGTGTTTAAATAATTTTATTAAAGATTAAAGATTAAAGATATATCGAGCGTTTTATATCTGATAAAACACGACAACGAGTGTTTTGAATAGCTTAGAATACGACTAGAAAAGAATACTAATTATAGGATGGGATGAACCATTATATAATCATGTTAATTAGGATGAACAATTATATAATGCCACATGTGTTTTATCAGATATAAAGTCACTCCACGTGACATATGATGGCTGACATGATTTGCGGCAAGATGTATGTATTATTAATGAGTATTTAAATATATATATATATATATATATATATATATATATATATATATATATATATATATATATATATATATATATATATATATATATATATATATATATATATATATATATATATATATATATATATATATATATATATATATATATAGGAATATATAAGAATCATTTATAACGTTTTCACTTTAATGTTAGCTCCTCAGGTGCATATTTACAATGAGTGGAATTTAGTTAGTTTATCTATTATCTACGTTCTATAATATCATATTATAACTATGCATATATTTACATTGTGTGAAGTCACGCGTTAAAAACATTCTATTTATCTAATTTTAAGTATAAGTTTAATGACTTTTTAATTAGCGTTCAGATCCAGATTCATGCAGTATATCGATAAGTTCTTTTTCTTTCATCTCCCTAAAAGCGGAAAGATTAGAAAGTGATATACATTAAGCCTACAAACAAACGGACACACACCAATATCTTGATTATCATTCATGTCATCCTGGACATACAAAATCAAACATTCCCTACACACTGGCAAGACGGATCTGTGCAATTGTGACAAATCAAGATTTAAAGAAGAAGCGTCTTGATGAACTAGAATATTTCCTACAAAAGCAGAACTATCCAAAATTGCTTATTAAAAACGGAATACAGAAGGCTTCATCAAAGAACATTGAGGAATTAAGGGCACCAAAACATACAACTGATGACAATGTCTTGCCTTTAGTAATAACTCATGATTCCAACAATCCACAAGTAGTTAGAAAAATAAGGGAGAACTTTAAATTTCTAAATAATTCCGAGAAAATGAAACCAGTATTAGACAAAACAAAACTAATTGTAAGCAAACGTCAACCGAAGAACTTAAAGCGGTACTTGACAAAAGCACAATTCAGTTCAGAGGACATGCAAAGAACACTCTGTAACAAAATGCGGGGAAAAGCGATGTGGAACATGCGATGTTTTAATCGCGGGACCCAATTTTGATTAAGACCCAATAATGAACCAGACTTAGTTCATGCCAACGAGTACATTCATTAGAATGGAATATAATTATATAAAACGATTTAGCCCGTTCTTTGCTTGTAGGTCTTGCTTCGCTTTAACTCCTTGAACGCCAGTGGTAGCATTTAGAACCTCTATGACAAAAATGGAATGTTGTTCTCCATTTCTTCCCACAACTTTTCAAACGAGAAATATATCATCATGCCGTACGGCCCTTGTCGGCCAGCGTGTAAAATAGAGCCATTGTTTCTATGGCAAAGGTTTTTGCAAGACGCCTTCATATCATCCGTGATTTTTCTCTTCGTCTCTCCAACTAAGTTGGGACAATGTTTCATAATGATATCTGCAAAGACAGAGGTGTCTTCTGTTCGTGCAGCTGCATGCTGCTAATTTCTCCCTGTGACGTGCAGTAATCAGGGTCGAAGACGGAATTACAGTAGAGTTTGCGGTTGATGAAAAATCAAGCCTACTTCTTGCACTGCGAGTCGATGTCGTAGTTGAATGAACTTGATCTTGTCCTTGTACTGGGGCCGGGCACGTCCGTCTCTGGTTCTTCTATACTCTCAGGTCGTGACACTGCTTGCCGTTTTGCTGGTCTTTCGTTCGAAATGTTGGGCGATTGCACAGGACATCTTTTCAAAGTTACTTGCATGTTCCTTTAAGTCAGTTTGTGCTTGTTGACATTAGCCTCTGAATAAATGGATATTTTTAACGAAGGTTATGCATTTCTTGCATACATTTGTGGGAATACCGTCCGATCTTTCTGTAAAAATTCAACACGATTCGGATATTATTTTAACCAGAAACTTCTGTACTACTGCTACCGATAGAACGTTTGTCATGTGCCGGTTTTCAGTTTCACATTCACATAGTCTGAAGTATCTTTTATATTTCTGTTTTAAATAAACTTTTTTAGGGGCTGTTCATATGAGCCCTGCTCTGCCGGGCTGACCCGGCTAGCCGGGCTGGTTTTCAAGTGCCGAGATCCCGCCTCACATATTGTTTGTATATTAATTTAGGATTGGGTTCATATGAGAAGCGGGCCAGCCCGGTTTGCCGGGATCTCACTTGAGCGGGGCGAGATCCCGGCTTGGCGGGCTCATATGAATGCACAACCGGCTAGTCCGGCAGCCGGGGTGGAAATTTGCGTGCTTTATTCCACTGATAAACAGTCTAAAATGTCCAAAACTATAGGAATTTATCGAAATTAAACCTCCTGAAGCTGTGGCCGTCGACAAAGATAAAATTTTGCCAAATAAACACGAATTTTATTTTCCCGCTAAAATATTGCGGGAAATCGTTACTATGAATAGATATGATTGCCGGGCTAGCACGCCTCATGTGAAAGCAAAGCGGGCCAGGTCGGCAAAGCGGGCCAGGTCGGCAAAGCGGGCCAGCTCGGTTAACCGGGCTCATATGAACAGGCCCTTATGTGTAGATTGTGTAGTGTTGTTCTCCATCGAACTATTGTACGCTAGTGGCTAATTGAATTTATAATCTGCATATTTCGCATGTCGATTTTATGTATTTTATTTCGCATATCGGGAGCAGCTACGAAAAATGCTACTTTGGCGCTCTCGGGCAGGATTCAAACCAGCGGCTCTGGAATTCCGGTCCAGCAGGCTACACCGGAATAGCAGGCTGCTAAATTAGCAAATTGGCAAAATTCGAATTCCGACGGAGGGCTATCATTGCATGCATCTTTTGTATGATCCCGCTTAATATATCTAAAATACGAGCGAGTGAGATAAATTCCTTTTTTGACAGGTTGCTACCAGAATCTCCTCGATGGCTGTTATTGAAGGGTAAAGAAGAAGAAGCTGAAGCAGTTCTTGTCAAAATTGCCAGAATGAACAAACGACCATTGCCAGACGATTTTGCACTGCAAAAACCTGTGGTATCTGAAAGAGAACAAGCTTTAAACAACTTTTTAATGACTGGAAAACTGCTAAGAAAGTCTTGATTTGTTGGGACCTGTGGTATGTCTTTCAGTTCGTTTTTTATTGTCCTTGGCTTGGTGCATGGCATTGTTAGAATTTGTATGTGTAAACACCATTATATGTTCATACATTGTCATGAGTCATACACATTCACTACTCTGACTTAATCGCCGCTAACAAATTGTATGCGTGAATAACATTGATTGGTATTGACAACCAGTGATAGGCTTTGTTTACAAGCATGCGCGTGAACTTTTGAACTTGTTTACGTTGCGAAAATCGGTACAATTTTGTGCACTGGAGTCGACCTCGTACCCAGGCTCCTTCCACTACGCTCCTATCAAATAAATATAACAAATATCATGATTGGATATTAAATAATTAACTAAATAACCGCTGTTCGAGTAAACGACTCAACTGTGTGGTCGATTTTCCAATTTTGTTGAGCTGAACATGTTCAATGAAGAATAAATAAGTTCATTATTAATAAACAGCGTATTTAGCTCGATATTCTCTATAATAAATCCACTATTTTGGGTATTTATAGGAGCGTATTTATTTGCAATCGATTGTTTCCCCGTGAAATATAATTAATATTTACCTAACATTGTATTGCACGTGCCCTTGCTTTAGCTGGGTGAAAGCCGCCATTCTGTTTTATATAGAATGTCTTTTAAAACCTTTAATATCATTTAGGCCTCACTCTATGTTTATCACTTATTTACTGAAACCAAGGGAAACAATTAGTGTGTTTTCTGGACCCAAGACCGCCGTTGTTGCCCAAGGCGAAGTCGAGGGCGGTTGAGGGGCCACAAAACACACTGCATTCCCGAGGTTTCAGTAAATAAGTGGGTTTTTTTTTTATTTAGTATATAAGTGTCCAAGTACAGAATAATGGAGTGAACTTTGAAACCAAAACTAGATAAATCGAACGCCATAAGTTATTAATAAAGAAGTTTAATAAAATGAACTTTGGAACTTCTCGGTTGACGCGCATGCGCACTACCCATTCTATTATTGACAACACCGCGGAAAAACGTCTGCGCATGTGCGTGTACTAGAAAAATGGCGAGGAATTTAAATTCCAAAGGTCGTAGGTTCGATTCCCACCGTGGCCAGGTATATTTTTCAAGCTTGCCTGGTGTGTCAGAGGAATGTCACATACCAGCATGCTATTTAGTTATTTAAGAAAGAGAAACAAACATAAAATACACTAGATGGGTAGTTTAGACATTAATAAAAAGTTTTCCAGCATTTAAAATTTAAAAAGAAACAGAATTTAATTTAAAAATTATTGTTTTAGACCGGGAGGCGTGTGATAATTTCTTGAAAAATTGTCGAATACCGATCGAACTGAAGACCCAAAAGTTAAGAAAATTATGAAACAGTTAAGCATTTGCACACGATTAAATAGACCTTTATAAAAAGGTTGACCTCAGCAGGCTTGTGACGTAGTTTGCGGAGAAAATCCCGAAAGTTCAGAGTTGTTTACTTGTTTTGAGTTTTTTTAAGAGCCAAAAGAAGCCAGTATTATGGTAAGTTTGAAGTAAATTTTTCTATATATAGGCCAAATGAGTTTTCATATTCGTTAGAGTTTAAATTTTATTTGTTTTTATGTTAGATTGTACATTTATTTTACTTTACAGGCAACACAATTCACCGGAACGTTTCTTAACCTATTTCGAAGAAACTATTGAAAAAATGAGTGCATCCGGTAAACCCATTTACCTAATGGGCGATTTTAATATCAATCTTCTTCGTTCTGAAACATGTAATCATGCAAAGTTTCAATTTAGTCTACTATAGACAAACCAACACGCGTACATAATGACTCGGCAACACTCATAGATAATATTTTTGTAAGCAAATTAGAAAATAATATTACATCTGGAAATATTGTCTCAGATATAAGTGATCACTACTCTCAGTTTTTTATCACTCATTCGAAAGCAGTGGCGTGCTGGGTACTAATTTTCTGGGGGGGCCAGTGGGCTTTCAACCAATATGCGCCCCTATATTGTAACGCTTGATAAACGAGTGTCGAAGGCACGAGCCGAGCGCCGCAGGTGCGAGGTTTCTCTAGGGGGGTCCGGGGGCATGCCCCCTCGGAAAAATTTTGAATTTAGGGTCTCTGAAATGCCATTTCCTGGACTTTGGGGGGAAGGTTTGACAGAAATCTGATGGTCAGGAAACGGCATTATAACGTGTTGAAATTTGCAATTTGGTTAGAATTTAGTAGTAGTACTTAAATTGGGCAATGCTAACTCAGTTCCAGCGATTAATCTAATCCCAATTCTATTCTCTACTGATCTGGTGATCTGAATACATTTACAACATACAGCTCTTTTATACAATAACACACGGACCCCACGCATATGCACTTTAAGGTTACCTTGCTTGACTGCCAAAAGGGCGCGTTTCAGCATTATCTTATCACTTACATTACTCATGAGTCATGATGTTTCTTGCACAAACAACTAAATTGCGTACACAACTTACATTATCATAACTATCTAATTTGCGCCGCTCTCGTGATTCGTGAAGCATAATACCTTCATAATATAAGGGCATAATACCAGCAAAAAAGGGCATAATTCCCGTGATCGCTTTGAAACCTGACCAATATTCCGGTAATGAGACATTGTGTGTGATCACTGATCATGTTTCTATATGAACGATTTTGTGTGAGCCGTGAAGTAGCAAATTAGCAAATACGGTTAGACCAAATAGTCTGTAATTTAATACATCACTTTGTCGTCTATGCGCTTAGTCTCGATCTGTTTATAAGCCTATATAAATATATACTTCTTGACGGAAGTAACAAGTTTTTCAAATGCGTTTTTTCCCACCCACTTTCAAAATTCCGCACGGGACGGCGCCCCCTTTTCATTTTTGCGCCCCCCAAGAATTGCCAGCTGGGGGGGCCATGGCCCCCCGGCCCCTCCTGCCAGCACGCCACTGTTCGAAAGTAAAAGCTAAAACTAATTTCGCAAACAAACACTTAACTCGAGACTACTCAAAGTTCTCAGAATCCAACTTTGTCAATGATCTTTCCCGTACTGGTTTGAATCATGTTGTTGATTTGAGCGAAAATGATATAAACAAATCGTTCGTTATAATGCAAACTTTAAATTGGACCAATCAGTGTTCGCTATTCATGACAGTCCGCCATATTTTTGAGATCAGTGAGGATGACCACCCATCGTTGGTGACCCACGCCCGCGATAATTGATTAACTTTAGACTTCGCTAATGCTTTCGTTTCCCCGGGTGTAAATAGCCGGGGGGGGGATTAGTACCCTCGCACGGCGCTTCGCGCCGTCGGCTCGGGGATAAGACTGGAACGATAACTGAGGTAAAAGGACTAAGGAGAGTTTCGAGGAGTGGGAAATTCAGTCAAAGTTTATTTTCGACGAAAATGAGCAAGAAAAGTCGTTTTTCATCAAAAGACTTCAATTTTAAAACACCAAATACGATTTATTTGATAGTTAGAACTGCTTTGCATCTCACAACAGCGAACGTTTGAAGGGTATCAGGTTTGTTTTCATAAAAACGACACTAGTTGAACGTGCCGAAGTAAACTTCGCTCTAAAACTAAAAAAATACAACATAAATCTACGGACCAATACCTTTTTGTATTAAAGTCTAGGTATATTTGTTTATTTTGAGTGCCTTGCCCCCGTGATTTGCAATTTGTGATTTGGCGCCCGGGAGAAGTTCGCGCGCTGTGAAAAGAACTGGGGAGAGTTCAATTTTCCCGTAATTTTCAATCTCGAAACCAGAGCCTGCAATCCTCTGAGGAGGCTTGCTGAGGCTCTGGGAAACACCAGCGAAAGTCGGGCTCTGATTGGTTGTTTTTCAAGTGCTAATTATTATTCAAACTTTGAGCCATATTTAGTGATTCAAATTTCAAACATCGTTTGAAATTAATATAAAGTTTATTTCTCTTTGTGTATTATGTTTAAACATATCAATGAAACACACAGCATAACTTTAATAAACTTATTAATCTTCCCTAGCTTCTCATATGAAATCAATACACTATTCAGATATTGATATGCCAATAACAAAATGTAGAACAACAACAGTGCAGCATTGCCATATAAGGTCATGATAAGCCGTTGTCTATAATATTAAAAATAACACAACAATCCATGATTTACCGTAATTAAATTAAACAAGTTAAAATAAATCACTACCAGTATCTTACAAAAATTGAAAACCATGGCAAGTGTTCTTTGAAGAATTAAAGCCGTAATAAGCTTAAACAACGGCATAATTCATGTTTGACGGCAGTAATGTCTATTTATAAATGTCGAGCGGAGTACTGGATCCAAATGTACTGATTTTCGTACAAAAGTCGCCGGTGTTTCTCAAAGCCTCAGCAAGCCTCCACAGAGGATTGCGGGCTCTGGTTTCGAGATTGCGCAATTTTGTTTTTTTAGCAAAAATACGCCGAAAAATTAGGTTTTTCGTCCGACGATTTTAATTTCAAAGATTCAAACTTGGTTTTCCCGATAGTTCTAAGTATTCTACATCAACTAGCTGCAAAAACGTTTGGGGTATCATCTTTATATTTGAAATATTTAACAAATTTGAATTAACGTGCCGAAGAAAACTTCGCTCTTTAACTCGCGCAAATATAATATAAGGTTTAAATCTCTCTACGTTCACGAAACTTGTTTTGGAGTAAAGTTCAAATATTGTTGTTTGATTTAAGCCTTTATTCTTGTTCAGATGAGGCTGTTTTGTGTAAAAAAATCCGCGTTCTTTTGATGATGTAATTTCGGACTTTGGCCTTCATGGCGGCCTTCAATTTGGCTTCAAAGATGGCGGCCGAGCATCACGATATTTTCCAACGGTAGCCATGCGACTGTTTATAAACATGGACGTCTGACAGCATATTTTATTACAAAAGTGATCGATCTTTCCCATTTTGACGGTAAGTAACAAACAATAACTCTATACTGGAAGTTTTAACTCTTGTTTATATCATTATTGCGAGTGTTCACCAAAAAGTTTGAATCAATACGATTAATTCCTCTTGAGTTACAGCGTCTTGAAAAATAAAAGTGCTGACGTTAGCATTATTTTCGAACGCCTTCAGAACTGTGTTATACACAAAATTTAGTTAAAAATTCTTGGTTAAGGTTAAGACGAGACTTCTTAGTACCTGATATAAACAAGAATTTAAACATCTTGGCTCAAACTTGCCTTTATTTTAGCATTTGATTTTTGGATATGCGCTTGCTGGTATAAAATTGACCATTTTATACCAGCAATTGCACCAAGCATTTATCCAAAAATCAAATGCTAAAATAAAGCAGGTTTGGGCCAAGATGTTTAAATTCTTGTTTATATCAGGTAAGCAGTCCCGTCTTAACCTTAACCAATAATTTGTAACTAAATTTTGTGTATAACACAGTTCTGAAGGCGTCTGAACAAAATGCTGACGTCAGCACTTTTATTTTCCAAGACGCTGTAACCAGGAGGAATTAATCATATTGATTCACACTTTTTGGTGAACACTCGTAATAATGATATAAACAACATATAAAACTTCCAGTATAGAGTTATGGTTTGTTACTTATCGTCAAAATGGGAAAGATCTTTTGATCACTTTTGTAATAAAATATGTTGTCAGACGTCCATGTTTAATTGTTTATAAACAGTCGCATGGCTATCATCGGAAAATATTGTGATATTCCGGTATATTCCGTGATATTTCGGCATATTCCGTGATATTCCGGCATATTCCGTGATATTCCGCCATTTTCCGTGATATTCCGCCATATTCCGTGATATTCCGGCATAATTCCGGGTTTTCACAACGCCCAAACACACAAACGCATAAAGACACGAATGGAAACATAGAGAGCTGCACGTGTAATAACCAGTTCAGACTATAGTATTAGATCTGTCCAAATTTTTGAAACCCTTCAATGGCAATCAATCAAAACAATGCTTGATAAACGAGATAGATCTGTCCAAATCAAAACAATGCTTGATAAACGAGAATTAATGATGATGTTTAAAGTTTTAAATGGTATGGCGCCAAATTACCTGACAATGTTGTTTCATAAATGTAACCACACAAATTATCACGTACTAATAATTTAAAAATGAGTCTGCCTAAGCCTAAAACAGATTTCCTAAAAAAAAGTTTCGTTTATCGTGGAGCAGCTTCCTGGAACAAGCTACCCTCTGATATGATACGAGCGGTAGATGAGTGTCAATCAATAAATTCATTTTTGAAAATTCTTAAACATTATTTTAATTGACCGTAAATTTGCGCCTGGGCGCGGGCCGCGGACGGTTTTGCGAGTTTTGCTCGCGGGGGTGTTTGCGGTTTGCACTTGGCCGCCGATTGTAGTATTATTTGCTATATAGATGTAAATATTTATTATATAATATTTTTGTGTGATACACGACCCTTTGAAAATCACTAATTGTAAAAGGCTACCGCCGGCTTTAAATATTCTTAAATAATAAATAATAATAATAATAACCTCCTTGCGAAGGTAGTTTAAAAATTTACCTATGAATTCCTGTTCCTTAATAACCTAATGCTTCTTCGGTACTGCTCGGAAATAACCTAACAGAAAACGTGTTCGGAACTCGTCCCGAACGCGTCCGGAACGCGTTCCTAAATGCCTTCCATTTGCGTTTCATTCGCGTTCCATTCGCGTTCCATTCGCGTTCCAATTGTGTTCCATTTGCGTTCCACTTTTACCGGAACGAATCTGTGGAACGCGTTCCGGTTACACTCATATCGAAACCGGACATTGTCGGAAATCATCGCGATTTCCCGAGTATTATTCAGCGTTACTTTCACATTTTGTGTTCGCACTAAACGCATCAAACCGCATTTTTATAATTGCTTTCCAGTTACGAGTCGCGAATCAAAATAACTTATGTACACATGCATAACATACATGTATTCGCGTGCCACAGTAAGGAAAACATCATCATAAGTTGATACGATTGTTAGTAAATGCATATTGCAATCATGCACTTATACTGTATAGATTGACCAGAGACGTTGGGTAGTCAACAATGTCACAATCACTAGTATTTTGACTAATAGTGTAAATACTTATAATCATGTGTAATGACTTAGTTATGCGTAACAAAATAAATCTTGATGATGCAGTTGTTTCAGCCCAACCGGCTGAGTTTTAGTCAGAACTATTTTCAACTCATGTTGTTAAACCGCTGAAATGTAGCCTGTTCACAATATAGACTTTTCTAGCTCGGGTTGAAAGATACGATCGCGATTTGAAGTATTTTCGGCTATTTGACTTGAGCGAGAAGGTGGTTACACATACAATTGAAACAAACACGCAAAACAAAGCCATTAAAACGATTACATGCTGCCCGGACTGTGTGAGTTTCAGCAACTGCGAAAACCTACAGTAGCTCAGGTTTCATTCAGTATCTGGATTTTCCGATGCGAGAACGCGTTTTCAATTTTCCTCTGGAACGCGTTCGGAACGCGAACGCAGTGTTAGGTTATTTCAGAGCAGTACAGAGATACTGTTCTACCTGGTTGCCGTGTGGGAGTCGGTAAGACTGGAAGAATATAGAGATTCCAGACTTCCTTTAAACAAGGAGAGGGATGTACCTCGCTCTATATTCTTACGGAGTTATACAATGTATAGTATGTAAAAAGATTAAATGTTAGTTCTCTGGGCAACGTAAACATTACGCACGTAAAGGAAAGATAAGGAACATTCCCTGCTACAAAAGAAAGTAAATAAAGTAAATAAAATTTCGAACTTGCGCAAAATGTCAATTTATTACCTTTCCATTATAGGTACTGTATGGCAGGTTAGATAAATTATACTTAAAACTGTCAAAGTTCAATCAGGAAGATAATAGGTGGTCAGATTTGTTCGGATACCTGATTGCATGTGCATGATAAAATAAATAGACTTTGTATTTAACTCATGTTAAAGTACAAATGTTTAGGCATTCGCCGCCAACCATTCTAGGGTTTATTTCGTGCGGCAAGTCATTATAAAATTACGTCATCAAAAGCTTACTTTGGTAAGTTCTCCTTAAAGTTAGATTAATTCGTAAAAAAAGGTACAAGTTTACTTGATATACTTCTGGTTTGAGCATTCCCTTATACGATAATGTTAAATTAATTCTAAGTATTGTCTGAACGAGCATAAAATTGACTTGACAACTCCTTAAATAAACAGAGAGCTTAGACGAGGGTTCGATAGAACACCACCTGAACGCTAATTGGTTCCTTCAACATCATCCCGCATGTACAAAGTTCCCTTCGAACGTAAGCATGTAGACCGAGTAAAACGAGTGAAAAGCTATACGAGAACGCTCAAACAACAACAACACTTCACAAGACGGACGAAGCAAATGAAGAAGAAAAAGAAAGGAACACTAAAAAATATTAGAACCGTAGTTAAATAACTTTATAACTTGTAACGATTCCGAGCTCGCGTATTGAAAATACGAATATATAGAGAATAATACATGCATGGGTGCGCGGAAATACCAGATTTACTTTTCGAGTGTTGAACATGTTATCTGACGAGTGAGCGCAGCGACACGAGAAATAAATCTGGTATTTCCAAGCATCCATGTATTTTTCTGTTTATTATATAAAGGACAGTCTTTGAAAAGCGATAATTTCTACAGGGAAGCGATAATTGAAAAGCCGGATAATTGAAAAACAATAAAACATCCGTAGCAATGCGTTTTCCAACAAGTTCTCCGATTGGTCAAACATATTTCCTACGCGCTTTTTGATTGGCTTGCAAAAATGAATGATATTTTCACACGAAAAATATCGTATTTTTTACGTGTGTTTAAATCATACATATAAGAAACCTAGATTGCTGACTCGGCTGAAGAGGCGCGCCAAATTTGAAAATCCAAGATGGCGGCTCAACCGGTCAAAAATCATAGAGCGACATAGGGAAAAACCATGTTACTGTTTCCGGTCCCGTTGAACCACCCTTTTTGGGAAGAACTACTGGTGTGAAAGTTTTGGATGTATATTTGTTCTAATTAGTACAATTTACAATTTGGAATTCAACCGGGCAAGAATGGGCAAAGACGAAAATGGCGCGAAACTGCCGGCCTGGTTTCTTTTCCTGTGTATTCCTCCAATCTTAAAGGTCTTTTACCAGTTTTTCTCAAGTAATGTGATATATATATATATATATATATATATATATATATATATATATATATATATATATATATATACAGTATATATATATATATATATATAACCTATATACTGTTTATTTTGTTCTTTCATTACTATTTCAACCAAAATACAGTATTTTCATCTGAAAATTCTAGGGCATTCTATTCTAAAAAAATCTGTTTTTTTATCCAAAACGAATGCCTTGAATCTCGGCATGAAGTGTGTGCTGAGTATAACTACAAGGCCAGACGTGGGGATTTAAAAGATGGTATTCGCTTGTCCTTCCATAAGTAAGTCAATGAAACACACATATCGTATATTTGTACACTATAACATACTTCATATAAACAGAATAGTATAAGACTATTAAAATAAGACAGCTTTTAATAGCATAAAAAACAATTTGTTTTGTAAATACACTAATGACAACAAATGTAGTTTTGAGCTTGTTGGCCACAATATAAAACTGTTTACAGTTTTAATAAAAGAACATTAACAGACCAAAAAGAACTTCTTGTTTTGATGTCTGTGTTAGGATATATATATATATATATATATATATATATATATATATATATATATATATATATATATATATATATATATATATATATATATATATACAATAATAAATCGTTGTCCGTTGTACAAAAAGAGTGCTCAATAACAAATTTAATTGATAGAGCAAAATATACTAATTATAATCTTAAAATTTTATTAATCGCTACACAGTGTTTCACGCTTTCAAAGCGATCTTCAGGCGATACTACTGTAGTATCGCCTGAAGATCGCTATGAAAGCGTGAAACACTGTGTAGCGATTAATAAAATTTTAAGATTATAATTAGTATATATATATATATATATATATATATATATATATATATATATATATATTTGCATATTGACAACAACTTTCTTAGAGGTTCTTGTCCTGTTGAAGGTCAACAAAAATTTGAGTTTTGTTCACATCAGTGAACCAAAAATACATATTTCCCTTCACACTATTTAGATTTCCTATAACCAATCCCAGCCGGCTAAAAAGTTGGATAACAGCAATGAAATAGGCAGACTGGATGCCAACCAAATATTTAGTATTGTGCGAGAAACAACTTACACCCAACAACTATATTAACCCATTAAGTCGCATTGTGCCCTGATGTGCCCCACTTTATTATTTTATTTTGTCTAACGGCAGATGATTTTACTCGTCAATCAAGGGGAGAGTGCTGGCGCTTAATGGGTTAACTGATCTGCCCATGGGTCCAGTTAACCCATTGAGTCGCACCCTACTTTATTATTTTACTCTAACACCAGATAATTTTACTTGTCAAGGGGAGAGTGCTGACGCTTAATGGGCTAGTAAAGGAAAGCAATTAATAAAAGGCCAATCCAAGAAATAGCTGAAAGTATATGCTGTCTCATCTATTTTTGATTTATATCAATGATGAATCAATCAGGTTCCTTGGAGAAAACTAGATACTGTGAAGGTTTTTGATACATACTAGACAAATTAGTCAGTTTCTTCAAACTAGTTTCCATTGAAAACTTTTGCTGTCTCTAGTTCTCTCTAAAATCCTGATTGATTCATCACTTTTCACTGTCCAGGCCATACAGACTTGAGATCCCTTGACATCTGCAGCAGCAAGGTCATCAAAGTCACACTAAACGCTTGTAAACAGAGCATCAGAGTTTTCGCACCAGCAGACCAGGTAAATCAAGCAAAATAGGTTTTAAACTTCAAAGTACTTCACAAGCAGTCATAGCGAGAGGAAGTCCATTTTGTAGCTCCGCTAATTTTACAAAATTTGAAAAACCTTTGATATTGATAATCTTGAACTAACTAGTACTGTAACTGTAACTTGAAGTATAATCGAACTCGAAGCTAGACTAAAGCACCGACATTGTTCAGCGCCACCGACGGCATTGATCTCGAAGCAAGATTAAAGCAAGTAAACAACTAAGCCAATTTCGTGTTGTCGATCTCGGGACATAGCTGGAAAAAAGAGGGCTACATAAATCTGGACTGAAGGGAGCGCTAGTTGAGCGACTTGAGAAATCATTGTTGGATTACTCTGCAGAGTTAAACGAATGTGTTTTCTCCACAGAGCAGGGTAACGAAGCGAAGAAGGCGGCAGAATCGGAAGCTACACAAACACCAAATAGCAACCTGGAGGCAATTAATAAGCAGTCGTTGCAAACGTAAACAGCAGGAAAACTGTCAGAACAGTCTATCGAAATCAATACTGCAACTAAAGAAACTAATTGCAAGGAAACCATGACTGAATTCAATCCTGTACCTAACAAGGTCGACGAAATTGGAATACTCCATCGCAGAATTAATAAGATCGAAGATAGTTTAAGGCGAGAAATTTCAAATATTGTTGTTGAAATAAACGCCATACCCAGACATGAATACTCGAGGGACTACACTTCATTGCTTACTAAACAAAAGGAGGATCTCACTAACTATAATACATGTCTCAAACAAGAAAACAATTAGCTTAGAGATCGACTGAATACCATGTCATTGGCCGGCTATGTCTGATCTAAATCAAAAAGTTAAAGATACTGATAACGAGAAGCTTAGTTTAGTAACGGCCCTAAAAATTTTATATGAAGAACAAAAACGTACCCCGCAAGACAAAGACCAAATTCACACTCATGCAAATCTCGGCAAACAGACCAATAATAATGGCGAGCAAACATACTCAACGGTGGGCAAAAATAAAAGGTCTAAAATGATTCGATTTAGTCCAAAGGTAACGAAAGAAGTTATTAACTTAGACTCTACCACACCGGAACAAACTTACAATGTTGTCACACGCAATCGCCACAAAGTACTCGGTAATGAATTACCTAATGGTAATAACGATGACAACAGCGGGATGAGCAGTTTAAATTATGGAGAAGACCAATATAATACCGCAGAACAACAAAGTGAAACAACTCAAACGTCCAAGGCGATGCGACCCAAGACTAACCGAGAAGTTTCTACTAATGAAGACCAAACCAAAGCGTCATCGGAGACTAGTCCCCGTACTTATAATTCGGGCAACCAACCCAGGCGTACAATAAACGTAGCCGTTGCCGGTGACTCAATAGGGAGCTTTAGATTTGACTACGAGTACGAGTACGAGTACGAGATTCGTCAAGCTAAACGCATGCTGTATGCTTACGCCATCCCGTACTGACGCTAAAAAGTCGTAGCCGTCGCCCATCTGAGTACGAAATTGTGGAGAAACCTCGTAGTCCTCACGACGACTTTTCAAAAAAAACAAAGAAAGTTGACTTTTTTTGTTTTCCAAAAATAATTTGTAGCATTTATATAGCGTTTATCCGGCGCAAATAATATATTAGTGCTAAATATCTGGCCTGTTTTTAATGTTATGACTTATTTACACGTTTTGTAGGGGATTTTAGTCGGCAGGAGATTTACTTTATGAAACTTTTTCTCTAGTTGTTGGTTTACTGTTATAAAAGCAACATTTGAATGGAAACGAAAACGACTACGGTAATTTCCTCGCACGCGATTAAATCTCGTACTCGTAGTCGTACTCGTAGTCAAATCTAAAGCTCCCTAATAGGGAGCTTTAGATTTGACTACGAGTACGAGATTCGTCAAGCGAAAACGCATGCTGTATGCTTACGCCATACCGTACTGACGCGAAAAAGTGGTAGCCGTCACCCATCTGAGTACGAACTTGCGGAGAAATCTCGTAGTCCTCACGACGACCTTTCAAAAAAACAAAGAAAGTTGGCTTTTTTTTGTTTTCCAAAAATAATTTGTAGCATTTATATGGCGTTTATCCGGCGCAAATAATATATTAATACTAAATATCTGGCCTGTTTTTAATGTTATGACTTATTTTCACGTTTTATAGGGGATTTTAGTCTGTAGGAGATTTAATTTATGAAACTTTTTCTCTCGTTGTTGGTTTACTGCTATAAAAACAACATTTGAGTGAAAACGAAAATGACTACGGTAATTTCCTAGCACGCGATCAAATCTCGTACTCGTAGTCGTACTCCTAGTCAAATCTAAAGCTCCGTATTGTTAAAGTACTTAAATCCCTCCAAACTTACTAAAAGCTTGAAACAAAATGTCCACGTGAAAACCTTGGTTGCTTGGTTGCGGATATAGAGCACTACGTAAAGCCAACACTAGCACACGCTCCTGAGTACCTAGTTCTGCACGTTGGTACAAATGATTTAAGACAAAAATCTCCTCGCCAAATAGCAACATCGATAACTATAAGCTCGGACATGATTTCAATGCGAATATGCCAAATACGAAATTAATCTTATCTGAAGTAATAGTTAGAAATAATGACCCTCAGCTCATGATAAAAGTCAAAGAAGTCAATTCAAAATTATTACAGGTATGTCTAAGCAATAGATGGGATTTTCTAACTCATGGAAACATTTTAGTTAAATACTTAAACATATGGTGTTCACCTGAACAAACAAGGAACTGCAATCTTAGCTAAAAACTTAAATATTGACTGCCTGAGTATATGAGTTCCACAGTGGATTGCACGAATAAGGACAATAACGAACTATCTTCAGAAAAGTCTCGATGCAATTCGACCATTCAAAATAATCTTATTTTAAATCCTGAAAATCGAAATGTCAGAAGAAATGTGTCATGACCTATTATCACAAACTAGCGAGAATACGTTTTCAAAACTAAAAGGCTTTAGGGTGGGCCATTTGAATATGGTAAGCTTAACCAAACATATTGAGGAGCTTAGGATCTTACTACACAAACAAACTTTTGATATTATAACCCTAAATGAAACCAGACTAGACGGTACTATTAATAGTGAAGAGGTTGAGATAGCAGGCTATGAATTAATAAGATCGGATAGAAATCGAAATGGTGGGGGTGTAGCTATCTACTTAAGAGATAATATCCCATATGTAGATCGAAATTACTCACTGACCATGTTGAAGCAGTTTGTATAGAAATTAGGAAACAAAAGACTAAACCATTCCTTGTTTCAACTTGGTACCGGCCACCAATTTCTGATACTATACTATTTGACAGATATGAAAGCTTTTTACAAAAAGCAGATGATACGGGAAAAGATCTGATCATAACCGGTGATTTCAACTGTAATATATCAGCTACTTATGACAGCCCTCATACCTCAAAAATTAAGGACTTAAACACATTAAAGATCCGACTAGAGTAACTACAACCAGTAAAACCTTAATTGACTTAATACTCACGAAAATTGAGGATACAAAAACCATTGACGCAGGAGTCATCCATATTGGGATTAGCGATCATAGCCTTGTCTATATTTGCCGAAAAGTGAGCATCCCAAAGGGAAAGCCCAAAATAATCGAATTATTAAACAAAAAGTCCAAAACAACGACTCTCAATGCGATTTCTGTGAATAATGAGGTTGTTACAGGAGATAAAAACATTGCTATTGAATTCAACAAATATTTTGCTACCATTGGACCAAACTTAGCTGAAAACATCTTTACAATTGACGTTGACCCGTTGAGTACGTGACAGTAGGGACAACTGATTTTAACTTCAAAAGTATTACAAAAGCAAATGTGAAAAGCGTATTAAAGAAATCGAAAGCTACCAAAGCAACAGGCACTGATAATATTTCAATTAAGCTTCTAAAATTAGCAGTGACTCTATCACAGAACCATTAACATTCATTTTTAATTTGTCTTTATTTATACTGGTATTTTCCCTGATGACATGAAATTTGCAAAAGTTACGCCAATCTTTAAAACCGGAAGTAAACTAGATTACGGAAATTACAGACCAATCTCAGTTTTTCGGCAGTTCCCAAGAT